AATTTTATGCAGAATGTTAGCAAATAATTTCATGAAGGGGACACTGAGGTCGACTGTGGAATCACATGAAGGAGTCCAGAAACAACAAGTTGGCTTTTAACGGTTTTATATTCAAATTAAACGATCTAGGATAACCTTGACAACTGTCTTGACATGTGATTTTGGCATGCACATGTGTCAGCAACAGCTGATGTTGGCATTCAGTGACAGCTGTCTTACTATGTATTTTTTAAAAGTTTTCATGTCAAATTAATCAGCACTTATCAGTACAAAAAGAATTACAAGTAAACAATAAAACATAGCAGAAATTGTCAGATTTAAATAATAAAAAATTGCAGAAATGGTCAGATTTCAACAATTATTTTCAGCATTTTTTAAGATGTTTTGAATTGTTAAATCCCCTGGCTATTGTTTAGTCACTTTCATACTAATCACTTGATATGTCGCCATAACCCTTATACACCATCAAACATGCCATTTAAGGCAAGTTGAGATAACACATCATACTGTACAGTAAAGGCAACTTAAGTTTTTATTTAAATGATTCTATTATTTCATATAAAGTCACAATAATTTTATTCCATTTATCAAAAAAAAAATTCCACTATAAAATCAATGATTTGGGAATAACCTTGTTATTTAATTAAAATGGATTGAATGTAATAAGTAGTTTATCTTAAATCATTTGAGTGAACATTCCAAATGTATTGAAGCCAAGCAGCCACACTTCTAAGATCAACTTTAAAGCATCTGTCTCTACCTCTAACTTTTTTGTAGAATGTGATTTTTTTAAGTTTTTGAAAACACCTAGACGTTATGATTTTTTTTTCTTTTCAGTGTAATTCATTGTTCATTTTTTTTTTCCTTCTTCCTTTCACTTCCTAGTAAACCATGGTTTACATGATAACAATGAACAAATACAAGCTTCCAATTTTTTTTTGCTCATTTGCCTTTCATACTTATTGTCTTTGATATCCCAGGTCTTGATGTCAATTCAGAACTTTCATTCTCTGGTAGAAGTTTACCATGTTAATGTAACTCTCTTTTTACATCGAGTCCAGAGCTTCATGTTTTATTTCATATGATGTCTCATCAAATTTGCATGTCAAAAACATAGAAACATGTAGTCCTATAGGCCGGATGTTTTAGAATGAGAAAAACCACAGAAATCGATGCTGCTGTTATTTCATGGAAAACCTATTCAATGAATGTAAGATAAAAAGGTTCACCTCAATTACTTTTATATTCAGTTGTAGAAATGAAGTTGTATTTATTTCAAATGTGTCATTAAAAAGCAACAAAATAATGTTTTCATTAACTGTTTTACAAGAGAATAAATTAAAACTATGCGCATGCTCAAAATGTTCTTTGTATAGATTGATGAAGTGTTAAAAGAAAATGTTAAAACTATTTTTTTTTATTCAGTTTATGTGTGGGCTGTACATTATGTATTATGCTGCAGTTGGACAGAAATGTTCATATAAATGTTGGCTTGGATATGTTTTTGAAGCTCCTTGAATGTAGTCAAAAAAAACAAACTTTTATGCCAAAACCTCAATGGTTGTATGCGAAGCACTTCAGATAATCAACACTAATGAAAAGACCATGTCCCGGGGTTTTGTTTTTTTGGGTTTTTTTTGCAAGCATCTGTTAATATGTTTAAAGGCTTACAGAGGATGCAATAAATGTTTAAATAGCATTAGAGCATATGACTTTGTTCGTTTTGAAATATCCAGCTACAGCAAAAGTGATCAGGAAAAAAAACTGACCAGGTGTGTTTATCAGTAATCTGTTAGCTTGAAACCCTATTCTATACTTGTTTAGGCACAACTAAGAAGTACGGGGGGGGGGGGGGGGGGGGGGGGGGAGGCTGCAGCTGGTAAACATTTGCTGGCAGTTTATTCTACCACTAGGATGTGGTCACCTTTGGTGTGAGCAACTAACCAGAAGCTTATGAAGTTGTGTTTCAGTTGGCAGAATGCAGTGCAGCATCTTTAACCCACAGTTCAAATATTCTGTATGACTTGCCAATGTTACCTGTCAGTAATGTACATTTTGTTCTTGCTGTTACTGCATTGAACAGCTGACATAGATTCCATGGGTTAGATCTCAGTTAAAATATGTGGCAGTCAACAGGGTTAACTCCTCCTCAAGTGAACTGTTCAGCTGTATCTGGTGCAAGAGTTGTGGTTCATTGGGAATAGGGAATACTTTACTTGAGCTTATAATGTTGGCAAATAATTTGATTTTCTAAATCTTATACATGTTTATATATATTAAAATATCTCTTTGCTTTATGTTAAAAAAAAAAAAAACAATAATCCTGCAGTCAAGAGGGCCGCAGAGATTTGAATTTTTATCCAGTAGGTAATAGGGCAGTGAAACTAACCTCACATGTGTAATGTAACAATCTGCTTCTCAAACAAGAACTGTAAATATTTACTGCTGCATGAACAATGGCTTTCAGTTTTAGAATAAATTCAAACATATTGTTCCGTATAATATTTATTTCTAGATTTTTCAAAAAAAAATTCACATTTTAGTTTTAGTTGATATCACTTCACACAAGCCACAGTCAGTAATTATTATATTATTTTATTTTTTTTTAACTATAAATTTCCTGTGTAAAATTTGTTATGTTGTAGGTTTTTTTTCTCCCCCCAGAAGTTGATCAAAACAATTGGTCTGACTTTGAGTTGATAGTTTTTTAGCTTGGGACCCAGTGGAGGACTGTGCAATTTTTGAGCAAACATTTTGTTCATAACTTCTACCATTTAATTGAACCAAATAAATATTTTGTGATAATGCATGTACCTGTATGTCATTTGAGTATTTCTATCTTACTCTGTGCACAGGATTTCTGATTACATTGTGGTTTATGACATGGTGTCGCAGTAACCGAAATGGCTGTTGTCACTGTATGACATGGTGTCGAGGTAACCAAAACGGCTGTCATCATTGTATGACATGGTGTCACAGTAACCAAAACAGCTGTTGTCACTGTATGACATGATGTCGAGGTAACCAAAACGACTGTCATCATTGTATGACATGGTGTCACAGTAACCAAAACTGCTGTTGTCACTGTATGACATGGCATCACGGTAACCAAAACAGTTGTCGTCGCTGCATCTATCACATGGTGTCACAGGAACCAAAGCTGCTGTTTTCACTAGATGACATGGTGTTGTAATAATCAAAACACCTGTCATCACTGTATAGAATTCTTTGGCTGGATCAGGAGAGATTTTTGGGTTGAAAAAAAAATTGTTAATTTTACCGGCAATAAATAAGAATTGTCATTCTGAACCAAATTGTATTACTTTTAACTGTTTGTACATTTAACTTTCAACTTGAATTACGGTTTCTTTTATTTCAGTTGATAAATCACTCTGTAATCAGAATCACTGTGTTCTTGAGTTCACCATCTCGTAAGCATGTATGATATCATTATGTAAACATACTATTAACATTCTTCAATAACTTTGTTTATCTTTGGCCCGCTGGCCTTTTTTTTTCATCCACTACTTTCGTTGATTGTAATGAGCATGACACCTACAATATAGCCGGCAGGCTACATTCCAAGTCCACCCATATAACTTCTTCACTTTTATCATATCATGGAGTCCTATGTGCTTATCTGTGTTCTCTTAAATGTAAGATATCTCTGCTATGTACACAGAGTAAATGGATAAAATTTCTGTTTACTTGTATGCCTAGCAATACGAGATATTTTCCTTCCTGAAAGAACACTTGACTCCAGTGATTCCACGCACTCCAATAATTCAGTCTATGGCCAAGTCCAGGATGCTTAACTTCATATCTACTCCAGTCTTATTTCTGTTGTCGTTGTTGATTTACTAAAGCAACTTGAGTAAGAATTTAGCAATGTGTTTGAGTTGGGTTCATCTATAATGTTAATCTGTCATTGCAATAAAGAAACGTGTCAAGATAAGCTAACGAAGTACGTCTGATATTTAAAAAAAACAGTGTATTAATTTCAGTGTCTCATTCATTCATCAAGTTTATGCCAACGATTTAGTTTGGTGGTGGGTGCAAAATGTTTTTATCAAAGATGTAGATGGATCTTTGGTACATCGGTTAAGTGTACCTTATGTACCGATTATGAACAACGGCAAAATTGTGACTCTGGTTTTCATCCACTTACGAATGTAAATTATAGACAAATTTCAGATCTGTCAACTTATGAATGTAAATTAAAAGGAACTTGTAGCACAATTTGTATATAAATCTGAAACAATTATCCTGGCTTATTTAATCTTGCACTTTAAATAGTCTGATTTATGACATGATTATGTATTATTGTTAACAAAAGGTAACCATGATTAATTGAAAATATTTGGCTTTTCTTCTTTTTTTTTTCCTTCACTGCTTTGCCCACTCTGTAAACATAACCTTTAACCTTTGAAGATGCTCATTTCCTAGAAGGAAACATACCCTTAGTTTGCTATGTAAAGTATACCGCATTAAGCACATCTTATTGTATAGTCTAATAGTTCAATTCTTAATAAATCTTTGTTTTCTTCATACAAAACATTTCTGTGTTATTATCCTTTTGTGTTATCGTATTGTCTGTTTGCGTTAACACACAGCCTGCCCGTGTTTTGCTTCAGTTGTCAGTGGTCATAATAAATTCTAATCTAAAGGGAGAAATGCCAATATTTTGACTCTGATACCAGCAAGTCTCTTTACCAAGATGGCATTCATATATTTGACTGTGGTACCAGCAAGTCTCTTTACCAAGATGGCATTCATATATTTGACTGTGGTACCAGCAAGTCTCTTTACCAAGATGGCATCCATATAGCTTAGAAGCTCACATTGGTTGAGGTTTTTAAGTGCCCATCACATACACATAACTCCTGAGATTTTCCATGCAAAGATAATGAGGTGAAAAAAAATAGTGTCAAAAACTAACTAGTGAAACAGTTGAACAATTAAACAAGCTTCAAATTACTGAAATGAAGAGAAGAGACTGATTAAATTAATGAAAACTTTTAATCGTGTAGTTTAGGGAAAAGCTTGCATAAACAATAGCCTAACATAAATGAATAGAACCAGAAAACCTCAACATCGGATTTGTGCAATGATTTGTTAAGAAAAAATTAAAAAATCAGTGGTTTAGAAAATTTTCAAAGAAAATAATAGCTGCCAAAATATTATGGTACATAGAGCACTTGACCAAGTCACATCACCTTGTCTAGAGATTGACACAGACCGGTCATTTCATTAATAGAGAGAAAAATAAATTGTTGAAAATATTTTATGCAAACAGTGCACCACAAACAGTGCACCACAAGCCAACACCAGCTGCAACTGTAAAATGTTATCCTGATAATATCACAGAATGAAATTTGCTCTTATCACTGTGACTATCACTATATGGTTAAACAATGAAGATGAATGGGAACATATTCAACTTAAAGTAAAAAAACAAATGACCTTCTTCTCAGTTGTAATTCAATACAAATGAAATACAATGAAGTTGTGCCTCGCCTCTGTCTATCTGTGCATTCTAATTATATAATGCATAGATTGTTATATACCAGTAAATAAAAAAACAGGCCCCTTGGTTTAAATGAAATAAAAAAAGCTGAGTCCACACAGAAAACAATTACATCAATAGAATAGCTGACATGAAAATAGCTGATATGAAAATAGCTGACATGAAAATAGCTGACATGAACGTAAGGAGTTATGTCTTCAGGTGAATTAGACTGATAAATAGGGACAACATTTCATTAAAAAATTAAATATGCCAAGTTAAATTTATAAATCATATGTTCCCAACCTTATTTGAGTCACGACCCTATTTATAGAAGCAAAGTTGACCCAAGACCCTAAGACATGTTTAAAAAATTGATACCATGCGAGACAGCGCATCACATTTAAAAAAAAAAATTTCATACTTTATTGCATTATCAAATAAAAATTTCTTTAAACCCTGTTTTTCTAAAGTTTACTGTTCAAGTCTGCAACCTCACAGAAAACCCTCTGCATCCCCATTTGGGGGTGTTATTAATGGGTTGAAAACCAGGGTTTTAGAGCCTAATACAATTTGGTTTTCAAAAAAATTATGATAAATTCATTCATAAAGTATGAAATATTTTAAATATTAAAAATCAATCATTTTCATTCAATTTGAAACAAACTGATTTTTAGTGGAGTACATTAAAGCGGAAGTAAAATGTTATATAGATACATAAAGTAAAATATATTGATATAAATTTTTGCATTTTTTAAAAGTGATTTCCCACTGAGAAATGGAACAAATATTAACTTTTTTTTTTTTCATTATGCAAACACAATAACTTGATCATTTAATACCTTATTCTTATATTTCATATTATTCATAGAAGTAGAAGATTTTTTCAAATTATTCATGACACAACTATACACAAATTTTTTGAATAAACTCTAATTTTGAATTGCTAGTGTACAATTCAGCAAAACATTTAACATTAAAAATTTCCTTCAACTTATACAGTTTTTTGGCTCTTTGTCCTTTCAAGTGAATAAATGTGTACAGTGTACTTTCTCTTTGCCTACACACTGACAAAATAAAAATCTAATTACTCAACTCTTTAAGCAGGTAGATATGAGTGTTTCTTATATTTTATGTTTTAAGGCTAGCAAATGCAAAATAATACATGGTATGATGGAAGATTAACCAAGGGGAGACCGGTCAGTTCTACTTTTGGTCAAGTATTTTATTATAAGACTTTAAGCCTTATGCCAGGAGGCCTCCAGTCTGGACGTCAGCTGGGCCGTGTGGCGGTTTGTGTGAGTCATCTCCCATTTCTTCATCCACGGACCAACAATTGTTGTATCGAATGGATCCTCCTTGACATCCCCCTGCATTTAAAAGAGATGTGTCAACATTTATGGTTATGACACAAGTATGCATGAAATAAAAAAGTGAATTTGAATCATTCACTGGTTGTATCTCTATGCAAAACTTAAAGATTAATTCTATCCTACTATAAATTTATAAATTCCTTTTTTCAGCCTTCTGATATGAGCTCTGGTATTCACTGCTAGGATTGGATTGATTGATGTACAAATTCTAATATATAATAAATACCTTCTAACATTATTTATAACAAGGCCACATCTTATGCAAGAGATGAGACTTATTTGAAACCCACTCCAAGAGTTGCCTGCCATACAAATAAAAAGACAAGACATTTTGTAACAGAAACAATAGATAAATACCGTGCATTCTTTGTCTGCTTCACGATGTCTGTCTACGCTATTGAAACCGTCCCAGTCGATTTCCTTGACAGGGTTTTTCTCTGATCTCATGAGGACCCCTTGTTTCATGCCATAAAATCCAACAGGTTTCTCAGGCGTCTGCCACCGCAGGTCCAGACTCCAGCGAATATCATCGGAGACATTGTTTAGGCTGAAAAATTATCGTTCAAAATAAAATCTATGAACAACAGTCATCAACATTCTCATCAGAGACATTGTTTAGGCTCAAGAATTTGTTCAGAATAAAATCTGTTAACATTGGCGATCAACGGTCATTAAACTTTTGCCTCGTCACACACACACTAATCTTGCAAAATGTTGGACTACCTTTGCTAAATTCATCACATAACTGCGCAAAGGGGACCCACAGTTTAAACAAAATTGTTTTCAATAGTGCAGTTTTGACTCAATACTTAAGTAATAATACAACTAAAGGTCTATTCTGGAGAAGCTATAAAGACAAGACTTGATACAGTATAATGGACTCACCTCCTGTGTGGGATCATGTTGTTGATGAGCAGCATTCCACCATAGGGAACAGGACAGAGGACTTTGTCCCTCACAAAGTCAACATCTGAATATTATTAAACAATTGTTCATTTTTAAATATGGTCATCAAACATATTTTCAATACTATTTCTGCTTATATGATCAATATTTTCTTTTTCCCCGCACTGGAAATTTTCTTTTTAAAAAAAATATGTTTTTTCTAACTCATCATATTAAATAAACTAGACTATAAGAATGTTTAAAATCTCAATTCCAAAGCATAGAATTATTAATAAAACTGTCATTCTATTTGCAGTTATTTGGGTGGTGACAACATTTTTTTCTCACTCATATATTTAGTTTTTTTTTAAACATTCATAAACGTCTGCTTTGAAAGTAATAAATTCACTTTATGAAACTTGACAAGAGAAATGAAATAACATAACAACTTGATGCCTACTGAGTCGTTTTTCAGCATCCTCAATATCTGTCTCCACATACCAGGTGTCACCCCAACAGCACGTGTGTCTTGCTACTTTACCAGCCAGATGTCCGCCTGAAATCACCTGCAATTAAAATACTCAAACTATTCTTATGATATATTGGGAAAGCATCTATCTAATGTAACGGTTTCTTCTGAATTAATTGACTGGAAATAAAGTCATGTGAAGCTACTTTGTTCTAAATAAACTTAATTAGATAGACCAGACTAATCATCAGACATATTTAGAACAATGGATGGCCACCAACCATACTAATCATCAGACATAGGTAGCACAAATGGTGGCTACCACCAGACTAATTCTCGGACAAAGGTAGCGCAGTTGGTGGCGACCAACCACACTAATCATCAGACATATGTAGCACAAATGGTGGCTACCACCAGACTAATCATCAACAGGTAGCACAACAAACCTCCATGCATCCATTTTTTTCATTTGCACCCAGCAGTGGAATCCAGGCAGTGGCTTGTAAAACATTGTAGGAATCATTGTCCAGGTAGGCACTGTCTGCAAAGTACACAAAATATGTGTACATTTTGTTTAACGTAAGTACTTCTATGAATTATTCAATCCATAACTTGGTGGTTTTTTTTATTTAAAATGTGCAACTATTAATTGTGTCTGCCTACAAAACATGTCTGAAATGTTTAGAAATACAAATTCATTGAATTACAGTGTTGAATTATTTTTGTTTAATCTCACCTGTCCTTTACTTTTAAAAATTGATGTAAAATTTCATTGACAAATAATGTGTTTAAATATTAAGATATTTTTGTTAACAATCATGAATGGGTTAAGTCGATGAAAAAGTCATCCTGTGTAGAAGATGATAGCAATGATATCAGAGGCAAAATAATAGAGTTTGTTTGTTCAAACTATTTTTTAAATTTTAGAATAGAACTCAAAATAATGCTTTGGCCCTACTGTTTCTGTGTATTAATAATTTACCCTGAGAAGAGAAAGACAAAACAATGAACAGTTTATTCAGTCATCTATTTATGTCACAGTGTTAACTGCTTCTCAAACCTTGATGCCAGGGAACTGTTGCGGCCTCACTCTGTGGGGTCTTGGTTCGAAGATTCCAGACAGGGTGACCCATTATCTCGGGTCCAATCAGCTGCTCCACAACATTTAAAAGTCGACCATTGGACCAGAGGGTCTGGAAAGCCTAAAACATGAGAACAATGGACATAGTGAGAACCTCTCAAATTATAGTGTTTTCTGTTTTAATACCAATAATCCAATGCCAGAATTTCCAGGGAAATTTTATGATTTCCTTTTGACATTTTTAATAGTAAAAAATTATTTAATTTTACAATAGCGCAATCACTTATTTATTTTGGGGAAAATATAACAAATAATATGAATAATTTGTATATATTTAACATGATGTTTGTACCCAATTTTACAGTTTTCAGATTTGTACAATTGTGACGATCTGAAGCTGGTCTTTGTAAAATTTCTTATATCGTAAACCCGCCCTTGGAAACCATTGTATAATAACTCCTTTCCCTCCCCTCAAGTAGCCCCGCCGCCGCTCAGCACGAGTGAGTTCCCTTGTGATATTGTATTCCTGCATCAGTTCGCTCACCCCCCCCCCCCGAACATGCTATTTGCATGAACAAATAAATAGCCTGAACAAGCAAGATTCTGCCTTTTATGATCTGATCACCTGACGGTGAATGCTGGAAGGATCTGCTCTCAGAACTTCGTCAGCATGATACATAACTGCATCCTAGGATATTAGCAAGTACATGACTTTTAAGATCTGATCACTTGATTGTGGACGCTTGAAGTGACTAGACTTAGTACTTCACTGGCGTGATACTTAACTGCAACTGCTACCTAGAGTACTACCTGGTTTCTACTACTGGACCGACTTACCTTGAGCTGGAACTAGGGGATTGATCTACATCCTACACCAAACTACCTGACAGCTAGGACTTCGAGATCCAGGGACTCTCACCACCACGATTTATCGCGGGAGAGTCATCTTCCCCTCGCAGACATCCCAAGGATTCTACGACCGGGAACTCCGACTTCGCTACGCTCAGAACAGCACCGAAGGCCGGAACAGGGACACTACTTCTTGAACAGAAGGACTCCCACACTGTGTGATCCACCGAGACCATCACAGAATCTATAAAGGCTAAGTTTACCAAGAACGAGCATAGAACTTGAGCAATATAGCAATAGTAATGATGATACCGTCTGTATGTTAGGGACACTTGCTTTGTGTTAATATACCTTTCTAATTGGATGAAATCCGTTTGATGTATATACATTGAGCACCACGAGTGTTTCACGTAGGAAGTTGTAAATATTATTGTGTAATAAATATTTGTAGTTAATTTCACCTTTAACTAAGACTTCGTTTCAGTCTATACTATATGTATATAGATAGGTGTTATGTCCGTGTGGTTATTCGGCTTAAATAACATATCCCTAGACAGAGTGCCAAGAGGAGATCTCATACTAGAGACCCTCCTCTCTAATAAGTCATAAGTCAGATCACCACACGGGTGTAAATGGGGGCCCGTCCGGGATGTTTCGAACAAACGTCCGTTTAGTATAATAAAATAGATAGACTGAATAATTTTGGTATAGGCGACTTTTGAAAATTTTAAATTTTAAGTCGGAAAAGGATAAGAACTAAGTAAGAAACTATATTTGCTCTGCTCAAGATTTATGTTCTTTCTGTATAAAATATTAAATTAATTTAATACTTATAGATGTTTTATCTAATATAGAATTGATTTGTTTGTATCAAAATCATTGGTTGGTACTGCTGGCATTCTAAGTTCCAAGTGGTAAGTACTATCATACAACTATGCCGGAATATGTGCAGACTGAAGCTGAACTTAGAATTGAAGGAGAATCGTATGGATTTACGGGAGAAGACCTCGACCAATACGTCATAGATCAATTTGCCCGAGAGTTAAGATATACTATTGAGAAGGAAAGAAGAGCACAGGCCAGATTAGAACAGAGATTAAAACATGAAGCATGGATGAAGGAGATGGACGAAAAACATGAAGCATGGATGAAGGAGTTGGCGGACCGGTACACCTCCGCCCACAAGGAAAATCGTAAAGAGAAGAAAAAAGTAAAGGGCCATCAGGAAGTAAAATCCAACAAGTCTACGCATGAACTCGGAACAGGGCCGCCGCACCCTAGGAATTTTAAATTAGATAATTCATCCTTTGGCCATAAAAGAAACCAGGTAGTAAACATTTTATCTCATACCCGAGAGTGTGATGATAAAATTCGACAGCCACCGGCACCGACCACCGCTGTCCCAGTCTGTTCAAATCGCCCGTGCTTGACCGCCACGATACAGACCCAACTTTCTAATGATGCTCAGGATGATAAACCCGTCCCGCCACTCGTAGAAAGTAAATTAGTCAATGGCACCTTTGACCGTTGTCTGAATGACTCTAGACGATCGTATGATGCTGACTTACGACGATCTCTTGTCAAACCGGCTGATGTAACAAGCGACCCAGTCGCTGTGCAATGTGCTAACCAAGAAGCTCAACCGATGACCTTGGCCATTGTTCGGATTGCAGAAGAGGAGAAGGAGGAATCCCACGATGCGCAAGGAATCATCACCGCAGCTGTCATGGACTCGCCGACCCATGATCCAATATCTTGTAGCCACTATGTAGTTGTGGATAACCCCACAAATCCTGTTATTGTCGCCTCCGCTGGGACAATAAATATGACTCCACCAGGAACCCTTGAAACGTCAAACCCTGTACTGCAGGAAACGAAAGCCGCCTCACGAATTGAGCCGTTACTTTCAAGAACACCTACTCTAGTGGAGAGAGTAGACACGCCAGATGGAAAGCTGAATGATTTCCTCAAATCTGGATCGCTCTGTCACCGTGCAAAAGGTGACGAGAACAAAAGCCAGTTAATTGTCACTAAGCTTTTGCCAGAAGAAATGACGCAGATAGAACAAGCTGCTACGTTAAATGGACGCCTGGGTAATGGTGTATCCCTTAATCGCATTGGTTGTTTTAGATTTCGGCCAGGAATAACAGAGAAAATAAAACGATACGTTTTACGTCGCACGCAGTGCCAGCAGATGATTCCCAGGAAAACCGTACCACGGATACCCCTCGGGAAAGCCTTGAAAGATAATCAAGTACTGTACACTCCATACTTTGGATCTCAAGTGTATCACCCTACAAATTCTTGTTAATCAAAAGGGCATTCAGTCAAACTTGTATCTGGTTTCCCACGACAACACAGATATTTCTTTTGCTACGAATGACTTGTTGCAAGAAACCACAGATCATATTAATCTAGTCAAAAATGAAAATGAAGATACAATAGTCTCAGTTGATACCACGCTTAGTGATCAAGTAATCACTGTTCTTGCCAATGATCTGGAATATTTACAACCAGTTGTAAAAGAAGAATTTGAAGAAGTTCTGAAGAACTTGTCCATCAAGGTAGATATGCCAGACATCAACCTTAAATTATGTGCAGAAGCCGCCCAACCAGTATTGACGCAGATGTGGTGGAAAGGACCACGCCTAAAAAGGCAATTAGATGAAAATAGATCGTATAGCGGAAGAATTCAAGCTGTATCGCCAGATTTGGAAGGAAAGCGTCGTCAGTTCCGTGAACTTGACGTCATTGATATTTGGTTACAGAACCTCGCCAGCCGTAAGAAACATGACCAAGAGATTCAAGATGAAGTGGAACTCAGGGAGAACCCCTTCAACTTCCTTGCCTCATGTTTGCGACTAGAAGTCCCCGCAAACAGATTGAGATTTCTCAGAGGAGAGTATACCGGTGAGGAACCGTATGTTACAGCTGACGAACTTTAGTTCAAGAGAATCGCCCCACCATAGTGACACTGATGTGTTGTACCCCTCTGTGGCGGGCAGAGTAACTCTACAGTTAGAAATTTAGAGAAATTGAAACTTTGCAGTATTTTCACTTCGTTTATGAAGGTATCAAAACCAAGTCTGACACTACACTAATGAGCTTGAAGAAAACCCTAGTTTTAAATATCTCAAAGATGAAATTATAGTCGTGTACCACAAGTAAGGTACTGCTGTTGAGAAACATGTTGAACATCCTGAATTAATAATTAAATTGTTCATTTTCAAGTATTTGGATGAAGTCTCACAATGGGATAATGTGAGCGATAGAAAAGTGAAATGGAAAAAAGGAGTGACCGTTTATATGAAGATTTGGAGGATGATTTACCTGAGATGTTTGGACTCAGGACTTTAGTAATTCAACAATATATTGTGCGGATTAAGTACCCTCAAGAAAAGAAATTTTGCCCAGACTTCTTAAGTCGTCATCCCGCTTCTGACGCCGAAGACAACTCTGACCAAATTTTAAATGTTCACGCACCAAAATGTGTACCTTCGGGAACAAATCCAGCCAAAAAGGAATACTCGCCACAGAAGAAATTTTAAAGCCAGCACTTAATGCTTCATTCTAAGAATGAATCATCTTAGGATGGGCCTATGTGACGATCTGAAGCTGGTCTTTGTAAAATTTCTTATATCGTAAACCCGCCCTTGGAAACCATTGTATAATAACTCCTTTCCCTCCCCTCAAGTAGCCCCGCCGCCGCTCAGCACGAGTGAGTTCC